TTCTCAGAGCCGCCACATTTCTGATGATTTACCGCGTACTAGTCAACGTTCCGGCCATGTTCCTGGGCTTATTCTGTGGCGCCTGGAGTGACCACACGGGCCGAAAACTGCCCATGATGATTCCCAGCCTGGGCAGTATCTTCGCGGTGGTTCTTTACATGCTGGGCTTGTTACTGCGAGAACATACGCTAGTCATCATAATGGCGGGGGCTTTGGTACAGGTTGGTACTTTCTTTTTTTTTTCTTTCTTTGTTTCTTTACTTCTTCTTTTTTCTTTGTTTCTTTGTTTCTTTACTTCTTCTTTTTTCTTTGTTTCTTTGTTTCTTACTTTCTTTTTTCTTTCTTCCTTTCTGTCTATAATTCTCCTTTTCCCCGTCTTTCGTCCATTCTTTAATACGTTTTTTCTTCCTTCCTTTCTTTCTTTCTTTCTTTTTTTCTTTCTTTCTTTTTGTTTCTTTCTATTTTCTTTCTTTCTTTCTTCATGTTGGTGTTTGCGTATTTGTTATTCATTTTTATTATTCATTCATTTATTCTTTCTTTCATTCATTTACTTTTTTTTGTTTATTTATTCATTTATTTATTTGATGAATTTCTTTTTTCCCCACTTCCTAACCTTATAGTGTTGATAGGGGCGTTAAAGCCTTACACCTCTTTTTACACTTACTTTCTCCTTCAAATACTTTTTATCTATGCTTTATGGTGTTTGTATTCTGCATGTATGTGTATGTGTGTGTGTTTAGTTTAGTAAGAGTTTTACGGCGCTCGCAGCTGCATAACGTCATATGAGCGCGCTGTGTGTGTGGGTGCGCGCGTGGGTATGCATACGTGTTTGTGCGTGTGTGCATGTGTATGTGTGTATGTGTATTTAAGCGGGTGTTTGTGTGTATGTGTGTGTGTGTGTGTGTGTGTGTGTGTGTGTGCGTGTGTGTGTGTTTGTGTGTGTTTGCACATCCACTATTATTATACCTCTTTCATCTAAAAATCACCACTATAAACGTCTTACAACATGTCTCCTCCGGTACAGGGTTTGCTGGGAAAGAGCTCAGTGATCACTATGGCAGTCAACAGCTACATCACAGACACCACGACGAACGAGGAGCGCACCCGCAAACTGGGGAAACTGCTGGCGATGAACTTCTTTGGCCTTTTTGTGGGTACGTCAGTCTTTGCATCGTGCAGAGCTCGTGCAGAGCCTACAAGTACAAGTTTTTTTTCCTTGTTCGTATGTCGTTGGAAACCTTTAATTTTTTTCTTTGTTTTATTTCGGTGAATACATCGAATACGTTGAACTTACTTTACTTTACTTTACTTTACTTTTCCGATCCATCGGCCATTTGGGTTCTAGCCCTTCGGTCTGACGATATGGCAAAGAATTTACAGGTTTTGAATACGTAGAATGAAACCTTTAGATTTCGTTTGGTTTGAAAGTCATGTTCACATCAGAACCTCTAGCTCCATCTTTGTTAGTCTGTGTTTGCGTCAGAACGTCTAGATCTCTTCTCGTTTGTATGTCGGTGGCTACGTAGAAACTTCTCTATGTCTTCTCGTTTATAAGTCGGTACTTACGACAGAACCTCGAGATTTCTCCCGGTGTATAAGTCGTTGTTTGAATCTAAACCTCTAGACTTCATTTGTTTGTAAATCAGCGTTAGTATTTGCATCGAAACTTTGTCTTGTTTGTACGTCGGCATTTTACATTAAAATCTTTCGATTTATTCTTGTCTGTAAGCCAGTTTTTGCCTCAGAATATCTGTTGCCTTTATCTCTTCACCTTCTCGTTTGGTTGGGGGTTTTTGTGGGAGGGGGGGGGGTTA